ATTGTAAAAATGTTGGGATTGTCTGGGCACAGCCATGGCGCAGGTCAGCAAAAGATCAGGTGGTACTTTTAACTACAGTTTCCTTCCTTCATGACTTCAAATTAGAACTTCCACAACATTTTACTATGTTCTAATTTCATCTGCATTTTAAAGATGGGTTTACCAAACAAAAGCAAGTGGTAACGAATGTGAAGTACCTTTAACCACCTTCCTACTGAACTACTGTCTCCACAGTCATACTGACTGGCATGCATCTCTTTGAAAGCACGTGGTTTTCCACTGCACCACGGTGATGCTCTGCTGTTCTGGAAAAAAAATCCGTCAGAAGTCAGCATGGAGGCCAGAGGCAATTCATCCTCATTTTTTTGGGCTGCCCACTTAGAGATTGTGTTGCTACCAGGGCTTGACTAGAATATGTCAACTCCTCTGAGCCTTGGAGTGGGTGCAGCAAAATGGCGGCTGTTGCTAATCCCCACATGAGAGCTGGAAACCAAGAGGTGTTCCAGGAACCCTCTCTAAGGAAATGAAAGGCCAAGTTTAAAAGAAGTTTGCTTGAAGCGATTTAAACACTGGGAAATAACCAAATGCATTAGAAGTAATGCAATACAAATACTAAATATCCTGAGTGAACATTTCCAAACCCAACAGAAAGAAAACACTGAAAACGTGTAGGTGCTGAAGTGCAGACGCACTAGCTGGTTGCCCTGCTGTCAGTGATAGACCTCAAGACCTCACATAAGTCCAGATACGAAGTGCTGAGGAATTTGAGGTCCTAGCTCACCTGCAAGCACCTTCAGTGCCAGAACAGCACCGTAACAAGACAGAGGCACTCAGGATCTGCTAACACAAATATGACAGGTAAACACCTTCCTGTCTTCCTTTATTTTTTGCCTGTGTTTGGTTTGCCAGGACAAAAAGCCTCTTGCTATGAAGTGTAAAAATTACATTCTATAAACCTCAGAAAGAGCTTAGTGAGCCCTGGAAAGATGTACGTGAAAGAATATTACCAAGTTTCTAATTGCATATGTTACTGCTCAGTAGCTTTTGTTGTTCCTGAGTGATTATTTATTTATTTCTTCTAACAAATTTCGAGGAATACCTAGAAAAGGAATACTTTACACTGTACTCATGTGCTACCTCATCTATTATTACCCATTTTTCCTCTAGTTCTTGGAGTTCTTATCTCTAGTTCTCCTATAATAGTAGAAGATTCTATAATAATAACAGTAATTTTATAATAACAGAATGTAATAGCCATTATTTCCATAGCAGGTTCTCTACCATATCTGACATGACTTGTTTCAGCAACAAGAGTAGAATAGTAGTGTCTTTTAAAGGTACCTGCATGCTGGTGCTAGACCTTTATTTTTTTTCCTTCATTAGTATACATTTGCTTCTTCAAAATAGGGCCTTCTGTGTTACAATGTGTTAAATATACTATGGTTTACTGTTGTGTCTTTGTCCTCAGTTTCACTACTTCTCTTGAAGAATCTGGTAAATAAATCATCTGCTACCTACTTTTTTGCTGCACATCTGAAATAATTCCACAATATTTCTTCATAGGGAAGCAGGCAGGACTTCTGCCTTTTCCACTAGGAGGTGAATGCCTCAACTCAGAGCTGTGTTCATCAGCTTTTCTTTTCAAACACTGGTTATTACATTCTCTGGAAAGAAGACAGAACTCAGTCAAAAGCACAACGAGACCAGAATTTTACAAACAGAAACTGAACTCTGATATAAGCTGGTATCATTGCTAAAGTTTATTTTACTGATTTTGAAGCTGAAGAAGTATGTCTTACCACCCTAAGCAAGCTACATGCAAGACAGGTTAGGAGGTGAACTGTGCATGAAGGAATACGCAGATGTCTCAGTAAATTTGGAATAACACAGCGATCAATCAGCTCTATTGATTTTGGATATTTTTAAACCTAGGTTAATGTATGGGATGCACTGATGATTTTGTTTTAAGCTGATGCAGTATGGAAATGCTTATTGTTGTGGTCCATCTGCTTACGTTCCTTTATTTCATATTTATTGTGCTACATGTAAACCTATCTATAATTTCTAAATATTGTGTAACAGGGGCTCTTAATGAAGTGATACTGAACCTGTATGACTTATTCAGAGATTGCTTTCAAAAATTTGAAAGTACAATACCGACAGCCTTATAGTGAAATTTGTATCAACACATACATTTTGTTTACAAAAGGCTACTGTTATGTCTTAGTCTTTGTAAATGGTGTGATGCCTGAAGTGCTTGGTAATGATATTGCAGAAACAGATTATGTTAATCGAACAAAACAGTTTGATTTTGTTCATTTGTTATGAACTTACTCTGTCTAATTACGTACCTCACAGAAAAGTCTCTCAGACCAGGGCTGGCAGAAGGCTGTGAACGCTGGCGTAGCACTGGCTGTGCCTCACCACAGGGCCTGAGGTGGATTTGCTGAACCCAGAGCTCAGCTCAGCTGGGGAGCTGAGAGCTGCCTTCCTTCAAAGACGAGTCTCTAAAGTAACCCTGACTCACAGCTCTTGGTCTCACAGTGGCTCTGGTACATATTGTTCAAAATCTGGTCAAGTAAGTTACAGATATGAGAGAGACATTTTCAAAAAACATATGCCAGTGACTTTGCAAATGCAGGTTTTTAACAGGACAACTAATTTGGGATATTTCCAACTGTATGCTGTTGTTTTTTTTAATGGTAACTTCAGAACTGAATAATTAGGCTGAAGTGAAACAGCAGTGCAGGTACACAGGTAGGTCTTTGTGCATCGCTGTACGGGAGCAAGAAGATAGATTTTCAATATAAATGGGGCATACTCCTACACTAAGTAACTACGTTTTCACACTTGTCTATTGATGGTATGGGAGAGATACTAAATGCTCAGGCCTATTGTATAACCTCACAGTATTGTGGAATATATCTACAGAAAATGGGGACACTGCATAAGACCTGCAGAAGACCTCCTCTTCAGGAGGTCTCCATAAAGGAGCACAGGACAAAAAAAGGCCGGTTACACAGACAGAAGAGCATAGCAAGGAGACTGGGGACAAGACCTGTCTGGAGGGTTGGGAAGTAGACTGTTTTCCAGTACCTTGTAGCTCCTCTCACAGCTGCAGTGGCTCCTGCTTAGATGATGAAATAGATAATGAAACAGTATATATGTAAAGGCAGAAAATCGGTTGAACTGCATAGTGCAACTGCAAATAATTGAGGCATTCCTTTCTCCCAGCTCAGCTCTCACCCATGCAGGTGTGACCTTTAGCACACTGGGCAGAATTGTGCCTTGTGTATTTTACTAGAACACTGGCAAACCAAGCACTTAGGTAACCAGGTTATATTTATCTGTACAATCACGGAGTTTAAATCCTGTGAAGTCAATGAGAGCACTGCCACTGGCTTCACAAACTTAGTAATACTGGTAACTGTGATTTGGGTTTAAAGAGCTTTTTCTGTTGTTGTTTTGTTCATGTTTGTTTTGGTTTTGTTTGTAGTTGTTTTCCCTCATGGAAAGCACCACTAACATGGATACTTTTCATCTAGTTTTAACACTGAGTGATTTAGCCAACTTTCAGTTAATTTTTGCATTCTAACTCTGTCTTGGGAGTATCTTTGCAAAAGATACTCCTGTGTTTATGTTTACATTTTGTTCTGTAGCATGGTATAGTATCACATTAAAGATTCTTGTGATAATTTCCTTGGTTCACCACAGTCATCTGCTAGGTTTTGTGCAGGTGCCTATCTCAGCTGCTGTGTGCTCTGTAAGCATTAGTGTTGATGCACAGTGCTGCTAGCTGTGAGCTCAAGATCACAAACATCAGTAGGCCACTGTGGGCATTCCTTCTGGTCTCCATTCTCTTTTATCTCTTTGTCCTGCTTACCTGTGTTTCCATCTCTGGTCCATTAAGTCTTTGGGACACTTCTATTCTACTGAGTCTTTAATCTCTAATTTATTTATGGACTATTCTAGGCTATGGTTCAGGCAGGCAGCTAATGAACGCTGGTTTTGTCCAGCCAATGAATTACTGCAGATGTCCAGTAGCTGACCAGAGAAGCACAGGTGCATTTGATAGGTAGTGGTAGGAAGTAGACTACATGCCCCAGTTTTGACCACAGTGGAGTAAATATGCACAGTTCAGATTCAGTTTCAAGGCAGCTGGCTCAGTGCAGCATTTACAAAACCATGTTACAAGGCTAAAGTAAAAGCAAATAGCTACATTTAAAGGCAGATCTTATCAATCAGAGGTCTGTCAGTGCCTGTGTGTTGCATACTTCCTCAGGGCACCTGGCCGGGATCAGAGCTATGAATACTCTGTCCCCCATTTCCACTTTTTTCTAATAGGATGCCTGCTATACAGAGGGGCTCTTGGGGCAATTAAAGTGCCTCAGTTTTCCAGTGAGCCTGAACAATCATTTCAGAAAGTAGTCCACTAGTTGCCCTAGGAAATTGTAGCAATGAATTTATGGGTGTTTCTTCAGGATAAAAGTGGAGGAACCAGAGTTTCAAGCCAGCATACATTTTTTGTTTTCCTATATCTGTTAGTTACAGTCTTGGTTTTCCTGGAGAGATCAGCTTCTGTCAAGGGTAAAAACCATTTAAGCAGCTTATGCAGGAGTTTGTTGCCCTCTTCCATCTGAAAGTCCACATCATTATTGAGGAGGAATATATAATTGAGTGTAAATGTGTCATAGTAGTGACTTAATGACTTAAAGCATGGTTATATGGACACAGGACTTTCAGTTATTTCATGACATTTGATGCCTTTTCTGTTGTGTGTTGTCATAATCTGTAGAGCTGCATCATTTGCACTCGATGGGAAGCTGAAGTAAAGTCTAGTCATAACTTAGACTACCTGTAATAGGACCTCTTCATTGGACAAAATGTTTCAAGGTTAAAAGTCACAAAAAGTCAGTCTGTCCTACCAGGTCTTGTTTGTTTGTCTGTTTTTTTGATGGAAACCGTGCACACACGGGCAAGCATTCATAGTGAGGAGTAAATCGCTGAAGTCCTCTGTGGCAAAGTCCACGTTTTTCAGTTTCTGCCCTCTTTTTCTCTTTTTGATTGAGGAAAGGGGAGAAGGGTGCAGAATACAGACAGATTATGGTTATCAGGTAACAGCAATTGTATTAGCAGCTCACCAGTAGCAGTTGCCCTTCTCCTAATAAATAATACTTAAAATTTATTATGCAGTCAGAATTTTGGTTGATCTGTTTAGTTAATAATGTGAACTTTCAGGGTCATTTCTGTTATGAACACTTTCATTTGCTGATATGCAGTATTATCACCAGGACCTACAAAATCTCCTCTCCATTGGCTGAAGAAATTTCTCTACTGGAATAAGATACTATCTCGTTGCTCAGAAAGACAGTGTAGTTATTGTGTTAAAATTTGTAAATTGGGGCCTTTATCACAAACAAGCTAGGCAACGATTTTTATTTGCATTGTGAATGAATGTATAATTAATGAATTCCCCTTCTTTCATTCTGCAGGTACTCTGAATATGGAAGAGCCGTTTCGGAGACTGAGCAAGGCCGTTGCTACAGCCAGCAAACAAGTGTGTTTCATTCCCACTGACATTGCTGTGGAGATGCAAGAGGAACACCAAATCCTCAGACTTATTGCAGGTACTACGGGAACGAGGAATAAGAACCTGACATGAGGAGGGTATTGAATAGTTTCCAGAATCAAAAGTTCATATGCATATACAGATTCTGTAAAGACTAATGAGGAGGTCACAGAGCAATAGCATTTTTAGTGTAGCACGAACACATTAAAATTGTGACAGAGCATTTATAGACTTCATTTTCACAGATTTCACTTCAGGTTTCATTTGTACTAGGCATGCAAAGATGCACAAGATGTTTGAAAAATGTCTTTTGCTAGCTGACAGAAGGTTTGATGCCATTGCTTTTAAACATTTCTTTTTATGTTGCTAATATTAATGAAGTTGTTTATTTATTTAGATGTTGGTTGTCCACTTAGTCATAAGGAACTGGCAGTTAGGCTAGAACATTTTAGTGAAATATAGTGCTGTGTCCCTTTCTCACAGATGAGCACACACTAAAAGCTGCTGGTTGTTACTGGACATGTCTGCCAAGCTAGGTAGCACTACTAGGGAGAGGGAGGTCAAGTGGGAAGGATCTGAGGTCCTTAAAGCTCCCTCTCCTGCTAAATACACAACTAGCCTCAATACATTCCTGGAAAATGTTTAGACGCTATAGTAACATGTAAGATAGAATACCTTGCAAGTCCTTCATTAATGAAACATTTTGAAAGTGAGTATATAATACTAACAAATCAAAGTATCAGCCTTTGACCTGCGTTTTACACTCTCCTAGCAGAGGCGTGTATGACTGAATAAAACACAAGACACTGGAAAAGCAGGCTTAGTGTGCCTGCATCCATATTTTCGCTCTTTGCCTCCTTACCTTCTTTTAATTTTGAATAATGACCTGGACTAGGCTGAAACTAAACTGGAAATACATCTTCCAAAGAATCAATATAGTATTATGATTAAAAAGTCATTTTGTTAGAGTTGGAAGCCCGGGGTGGGGATTGGGGGAGCATTAAATGGAACCAAACTCTAGCGAGTAAGAAAGAGAAAATTTGTCTTTAATGTAAGTAGGGGTTTGGAAACTTCCTGTTAACATCTTCTGCAGTTTTGCAGAAGTATTTTTTAGAGACTAAACTTTTCCTCCAGTGTTAACAGCAACCATGTACTCTAGTAATTTGGGTTGAAAAGGGATTGAGTTATGCAGACAGTGTGAGGTGTGCATGAAACTTCAGGCACAACATAAAACTCGCCCAGGACTATCTCCAATAGAAATTCAGAGTAGCTTTTTTTTTTTTTTTTTTTTTTTTTTTTCTGTTCCAGTGCTGTTAGTGACTGCGAAGAGGTGGAAGAGGTGAAAAATAACACAAAAATGTCCACATTGCACATGAGTGTATCTGAGTTGTCCAGTTATACTGCCACATCTTTTTTTGCTGAAGGGTGTTACAGCATTTTTTGCCTTAAGTAAAATCATCTCTGTTTAGACCATGAAGGTCCAAAATCATGCATGCCAGTGTTACGAAAGAAGCATTCATGCTGTGTGGAGATCATGTTTGTCCCTATTTGAAGAACCATTACATTACAGTAGGCTCACTCCACACCAGTATTTGATAGGGGGATTTCAAACAAATCTGTACTCTTTATTCATGCTCATAATAAAGTAATTAAAAACTAATTCATACACAGAGAAAATGAAGCAGTATAAGTCTGCATTTCTGCATTAAATAATACCAAATCTGTGCATGCCGGATTTCCTGGCAGTAAAAATTTGATCTGTGTTGGCATGTGCACATGACTACATTTTTATCGAATCAGCCAGAGCATATGTTACAGTGTTTATGCAGATTTTATGTCAGCTTTCTGTCAGCTGGGTAGGATATATTGTTCCTGATCCAGCTTAAAGGTAGAGTAGTGTAAACAGACAATATCTCATCTGATGTGAACTCTCCTGGGACAAAATTATTTCATCAAGGTATTTACTATCTCACAGGATGATTGCCTACCACCCTAACATGCTGTAAACCCTACAAAGTCCTTAGACAGATCTTTTTCAAGTCTGAGCATGCCAATATCTGATTAGCTTTAAATAGACCGACATTTTTTTCCTCAGAGGGAAAGAAGGGAAGAGTCACAAATTCAAACTATATTTTACACCTTAGATAAAGAAATGGTTTAGAGTATGATTTATATAGAAATTCCAAGTGTACTCATATATAAATGTAAATAATGAGATGGGAAAAATTGAGTCGTAATGATAATTAGTAACATAATTCTTGAAATTACAGGTTTAGGTTCAGGCCCATATTGTGAAAGAGAAAAGATTTGATTTTGTGCATCCCTCTATATTTCTTCTTTTAAATATGCAGCTGCATATTTATATATCATATTATGTCATATTATGTATCTCTGGCATTTCATGTTGAAGATTAATTGTCTGGATGGTATTTACTGGAAATGAAGATAGTAAACAAGAATATTATACTGTGAACCAGATATTTTTGAGAGTTCTGAAGTCTAAGGGCCAAACTCATTAATGGGTGTATACAGGTGTTACTGACGTTGATATAAATTTTGCTGAGGTTGTTCAAGGTTCTGTTGGAATTCTGTTAATTGTCATTTAGTACCATTAGAATTTGTGAATTTACTTCTGTCACTGCAGTATTGTCTATCTTTGGCTATAGACTGTAACTGACTGCAATTCAGCATTCAATTACAGTACTAACATAGTTTAAACAACCTTGGCTACTCATTTTTGCACCTGCACTTCAGTCTTTACTGGGTTAGCACTGCAGTTTTGGGGGGTGTGTAGTGGACCAGCCCATGGAACAGATTTAGCTGAAGAGTAACAGGGATTATGAAAACTGGCACTGCCTCTGACTTTTTTTTTTTTTTCTCCAAACTATATAGTTTATGGAAAAAAATGGAGCTGGGAATTTATAGCAGACCTGGCAAGAATGAATGGTGGTGTGGGATAAACTGAAGGGATTGTTCCTGGTGAACTCAAGGTAAGATCATACCTGTACCTCCATTTCAGAGAGTAAATTGAAGTAGAAAAAGATATTGTAAGGTTGATGCAGTTATATGAATACAGATACACTTCTGTAATGCACAGCATGTACTATGGGTTGTAAGGTGTTGTTGTTCTGATATAACTACATCTATAACAATTGTGCTGGTATAACAGTGTTAATAAAAAATATTCTAACTGACAGAGTTATGCCAATAACACTTTCACAGGTACAAGACCCCTGAGATTGGAGTCATCAATAAACAGCATACCTGCCTTATGTAAACATCTCCCTCCAACCCCCCACCCCAATTTAACAATAATTCCTATAATGCAGATCTTATTTAAGAGTTTGTAGAACTGTAGTTCTGCTAAGATCCCACTTTGGGAGAATCCAGAAGTTCTTCTTTAGAAATTAAGGGGCCATTCCATTTCTCCTGATATGTTTCAGTGAACTTTGCAAAACCATTCTTGACAGAGCTGAAACATCTTACAGCATTCTTCTACTACTATTTCTGTTATCACTACCACCTCTTAAAAGCTTATATTTGTTCTCAGAATGGGACCAGATTGTACTGAGAGATTGGTATTTTCCGTACAGTTTCCTGTGGAGGAATAGCATAGACTCTTGGCAGCATACCACTATTCAATTCTTACAAAGCACTCACATCATGTACTCCAGACACAGGCTTGGGCTCATGACCATTCAGATGTAATCTGTACTACTGGTGCTATTTTAACTGCAATCACATTGCATTATATGCAAGTATGAAATGTATAAGAGAAGAGAAGGTAACTTAAAACGTGCTGTGGGGTTGAATTTTGCATAAAGTGATGCTTTGTTAAAGCTCATCAATAGAAAGAGAAAGTTGATGAAATACATGAAGTTCTGATGTACATAGCTATTTGCTGCATATATGGTACTTAATCCATAACATGATTTTTGTATTTGATTTTAACCTGCGAGAGAAGCAACAGCCATACTGTATGATAACAGTGTACTTGGGACTCAATGGGCCCAGCTACTCAGCAGCAGACCCATTCCTGCTCTCCTCTGTAGAGATCTTTTCCTGGGTAGGCTGTTTTGGATGCTTAAAGATTTAGGAGAAACCACAAATCCTGAAGCAAAGAAACTACTGAAAAATACTGAGTACGCTCAGTCCAGATGCTACAAGGAGCTTCTGATCTCCTTGAATGATAGGGCTTGTTAATTTATTGTGCTTTCAGCAGGATTCAAACCGAATTGGATATTTTAAATAGGCATCGACAATTTTCTCTTCCATTTTGGGCAGCAGACAATGTGTAAGAGGATAGTAAGCACAGCATCACTGAGAAATGCCTGTATAATCATGTCTCCAAGAGATCTTTGGTACACAGAAACTTGATCCCTCAGACGTGGACATAGCCTTGTATTTTTCCCTCTTCCTGCGTATCTTCCTTCCTCCCAGTGTCCCTACTGCCAGCCAGTTTTATGTCAGTGACGTGTTCTGGCTGTAAGCTGCACCACAGAAGAGTCTGTTAAGAACCATTGCCCTTAGCATAGTGCCACTCCAGTGACCTAATCAGTTTCTCTGTGCTTCCATGCCTATCATACCAGCCTCCAGAGAGCATGCCCTATCATCAAAATGTGTCTGAGTAAGAGCATCTTGATCACAAACAAAATAATTAATTATACAGTAATATTTATAAAACTTTAGTAATGTATTTTTTATCTGTCAAAAACCTTACTAAAGATTTTTTTTAGATATAAATCTCTTCTAAAATAAGTTATATTGCACCAGTAAGGCAAAACACACAGAAATGTTTTACACAACATGATTTATAATTATATGTAATTATTATGATTGTTATGCTGTTAACTCCCAGTGTACTTAAATCTCATTGCAAAGCAATGATAAATGGCACACCTAACTTAGGATTTGCCCATAGATGATAAGGAAAAAAATGCCACCAAAACAAAAAATGCTTGGAAAGGTTCTAATATGGCAAGGCAAAGGCACCTTCTGATTTCTCAAATAGGTCTGTACACCTTCCAGAAAATTAATATAATAATGCTTTTGTAAATATGTATTTAATTTTATTATTATTATGTTGGCAACATAAATCAAGACCTTATCCATATCCCAAGGCTTTAGCCGTGTAAATGATTCTTGAATTACACTTAGTTATGGCTTTGTCTTCCCTATCTCAGGCTTCACATTGCCTCTGTACTATTACAAACAATATTAAAAAAAGAGTGAGAACAGTTCCAGTGTGGAAAACAAGCCCCCATTACTGCCCTGCCCCAACCATCAGCAGTATCTGAGCAACACTTTCTAAGCATATGAAATGAGGTGGGAAAAGACATAGGATCTCCACAGTCTGAAAAGAGACTCAAACCCCCAAATCAATACCTTCTTCTTTGCTACTATAAAACCTGAAATTTAACAGTAACTCTTCACCTTTCAGGTTTTGCTTCTAGGCACTGAATACCTCAGAAACACCTGTATTATCGTATTATCTAATGCTTAGATGGCAAACTTATGAGGGGTTATGTATAACAAAAAGGGAGGTTTTTGCTGACTTCATGACATGATAGTTTGGGAAATGGGGTAAGTAACAAAAAGATATGCTGATGGTTTGCTATGACTGCTATTTGGGATTAATCCTGAGCATTACCTTTACTCAGTTTAAACCACATTTTGCCCTCAGAACTTTGTCAGAGTCATGCACATTGTGCTCCTTGGCCACAGAATTAGAATAATTTAGTTTGAATGGTTCCTGGAGGCCACCTCAGGTCCAACCTCAGTTCAGAACAGGTTAAGTTGAGATCAGGTTGGTCATGGCCTTGTCCTGCCAAGTTCTGAATACCTCCAAGGATGGAGAGTCAGTAGGCCCTTGGACAACTAGCTCTACTATTAGGCTGCCTTGTTATGTTTTTTGTTTGTTTGTTTGTTTGTTTGTTTTACACAAGATCTCTCCTGCAGTATGTCTATCCTAGTATTTGATCTATGAGCATAACCACTGTAGGAAGTAATTTTGTCTCTTCTTTCAGTCTCAAGAGTCTGAGGTAAGGGGAGCACAAATGGCAGGAAATTACAAGTGAGGACACCAGAGTTATTTACTAGTGAGTTTGTTGTAGCTCTTAACAACCCGGGTGAATTTTGTGCAGTGCTTTGGATATGGTCTTCATTTAGCTGCCACCGAATTGAGATGGGAAGTCTCTTTTGCTGCTGGTAGTCAGAAAGACTGAGGTTTGCATGTATATGTCAGTGGAACCCAAATTTGCCAAGTTTTAGTTTTCCCTTAAGCTGGGGATTTGCAGTTGGGTGCTAGGAACACTCAGATGTTAATCCAGTTCCTGCACTACTCCCAGAAGGGCAGGCAAATTCCCTCACAAAGACTGGGGAAGGATTGCTGGTGCCTCAGCTACTTGCAGTATGTGGAGTCACGGGCCATGGCTCTGGAACTGCACAACACACGTGAGTACACTGTGCCAAGGCAGATACAGTAAAAGTATTGTTCCATGCGCACTTCTCCCAGCAGCAGCCTGTTTTAAGGCGTTCCCAGGACCCACCTCAACTGCCAGCTGCTTGTTCCTGACACCCTTTCAGCTGTGCCAACACAGCTGTTTACGCGGATGTTTGTGAACTGAATCGGGAAATGAATTCAGTTTCAACTGCCCAACAACAATTTTTTTTCAGAACTTTTCTTTAATACCTGTTTAGTGCCCTAGGCCTGATTCAAAGTGTGGCCTTACAAACAGTTGTGTTGATAAAAATCATACGGTTGTCACGGGAACAAGACAGGCAGGAAGGAGGGAAAAGTTGTTGGAAGTATCTCAAGTCAATATTGCTGCCAAAGGCAATGTATCTTCATGTATGGCTTTGGTGGTGTTGCTGCTGACAGCTGAGCCAAGTGGTTGCTGTTGCTCAGTCCGGTGTCTGTCTTGTACTCAGCCTCAGCAATGCTGACAGATCTGTAGGTATATTCGTACCACTTTGCTCATCACCACCCGTAAGCAAAAGGTTAAATGAAAAGAACAGTTGCCAACCCCACAAAGTGCATGCCTACTAACTTGAGTTTTACCAGGTGCCTAGTACAGACTGACAGTGGGCAGCCAGTGGATAGGCCAGTTTTGCTCTTCCCCCAGACTTACATCTAGTGCCGCACCTCTTTTCTTAAACCAGATCAAATGGTTGTGCTATTTATTTATTTATTCTGAGAACACCAGTCTAAATTTAAGGAATTAGCAAAAGCAGAGGTAATGGGCTAATTCTCCAGTGAGGATGTAGCTTCCAAAATACTTGAAAAGGGATCCTTCATAACCTTCAGAAATTTTAAAAAAGGAATTTCCTGTTCTCTGCAAATCCAGTCCTGCTCATTGGAATTGTGGAACAGACTCTGAATGAACATTGTATCTGAAGCTGAAGTTGTCATTTTAATTTTTATGTTAATTTTATTCTGCCACTGATGTCGCACAAGGATACAGCCAGAATCATTTTACTGAAGTCACAGGTCTTGATTGTTCACTGCTGTGCCCCTTGTGAAGTTACTCGTACCTGTGTAAAATACACATGAAATGTTAGCAAATCAAGTCAGAGCATTGCCCACTGGACACCCATATTGGAGCGGTGTAAATTACTACAATATGAGGCATCAGCAAACAAAATTACACTAGAATAAAAGTATAGTGTCAGAATTTGATCCCATGTAAGTGTTTTGTACTGTCATTTTAATGGAACATTGCAAAACTGAAGAATCATTAGTAGTCCTGCCAATGCTGTAGCATTTAAAAGGTCCTATTTTCCATTTCCCTGTAGTCTCTTTATGCTACTCCATTAGTTTTAAAAGGCCATAAAGAGAGCACATTTAGCCACTCGGGAGTATTTCTGTGTTGCTCTTGCCTTTGGCATAGTAGATATGTTAGGTTGTGGCTGAGGAGAAAGGGTCACGGCTGGCCGGCCTCTCTGTTCGAGCTATTCTTGGTTGCTGGAACAGCTCCTAGGGGCCCCAGGC